GTGACTGACGTTTCGGAGCAATCAAGGCAGATACCACACAGACAGGCTCAGCACAAGATTTAAGTGGGATCTAAAAGACAGCAGAAGCAAAGAAGTAAAGTAAGGTGTGACAAAGACAAACACAAGTTCCCTAAAACGCCTCAGAAATATTTGGGAGGAAACCATGTTCCCACCATCTTCTTTGAAAAGGATGAAGGATCATCCACAAGGTGTCATTTAGCTATATGCTGATGCCTGACTGATAAATCACACTCAGTCAAGTAAATAATAGATAAGAAACAAGAATGGTAACTTAAATTCATGCTACAGATGGTGGGGGCAGGGGCCAGGGGCAGCAGTAATCATCAACTAATTCATCGAGGGTTGTCACGTTTAGTGAAAGGGGAGACCCTGAGCCGACACAGAAAGGCTACTAAGAGTTGAAGTACAAAGAATGCAGAGATCCCAGGTATGGCTGATACTATGAATAAAAGCTCCAGAGCTAGGAATGAGTGTGGCCTGCTCAGAGCACAGGGCAGAACTGGCCTATTTGGAACAGAGACTATTCATTGGCAGGCAACGACATACAAGATTAGCCAGGTAAGGTGAGATCAGACTGAGAAGGGCTCTGAAATCCAGGATGAGAAATCTGAACTTTGACAAGTGTTCATGGGAAGGGAAAAAACCTGCTTTGTTGTTTCTGTTTCCCCCTTTTTAAGATCAAAAATACTTTGGCAATGTATACTGGTCCCTTTCCTTGCTTTTTAAAATTGGTCCACTGATGTCCCTCACGTTTTATACCCTCAGGTACACAGCTACCATGTCTATGAAGACAATGCTGCTATTCAAATATGTATTGGTTCCAAATTTTCAAATGCCTGTCAATTACCCACGAAGTGCTTCTATCATTTGTTCACACTATAAACACATGCTGAGTGTCTAAGCCATGACATGTGCAAACTAAGAATTTAAAGATGACTCAGTTCATGCACTCAAGAAACATAAGAGTCCAATATAGGCGGAAGCCCAAAACCAAATCAAAAGCATCAACAAGTAGAGTTGGAGGAATACTCAGGGTATCAGTAAGCAGAGGGCAGCAACCTCAGTTTAGAGATCACGAAAAGGCAGCAAACACCAAATAGACGGGCTGGCTAAACTGAGTCTTAGACAAAAGCAAACATCAAAGACTGGGGAGGACAAGGGGGTGGCAGAGATTACAATCAGCCTTCAGGGAGGGGCTGGGCAGAGCCTGTGGAGGCTGCAAGTGAATCCCACATGGCTGGATGAGGAGAAGCAGGCAAGGTTCAGGAACACCATTCTCTCACGCTAAGAATTTTGTACTTGAGAATAGCTGAACAATTTTATGAAGGAACAACGTGTATTTCTTTTAAAAAGCTCTGGTAGAGGTATTGAAAGCGTCACAAGGCTTCATCCCATCATAAAAGATAATGAAAACAGGGCCCTCCCTGATGGCGCAGCGGGTTAAAGCACAGCACTAAAAAGTTTAAGCCACTTCCGCATGAGTTCGATTCCCGCCTGCCCCGGAGGTGACCACATGGGCGGCAGACCTCTCCTGACCCGCCCGCTGCTCCCCTCAGCAGTGTACTTCGTTGATCTGCCTGTTCTGCTCCCCACTCTGTCTCTGGTGAAGCCTCTCACCCTCCGCATCTCTGGCCTGTACCCCAGTTCTGTATGAATAAATAAATAAATAAATCTTTAAAAAAAAAAAGATAATGAAAACATAATTATAAAAAGAGACAATTATAACACTTAATATACCTCCAGTTATTCACTCCAGCCCCCTTTTTAGGCTCAGCTTACATCCTTCATAAAGTCATCCCTTACTCTTCCCAAATATAACCTCTCCAGTCTCAGTTTCAAAGTCATGCCCATCTCTACAGTGAATTCTATCCTCCCTTTATATTAATGAACTTGCATTTAAATGCCCACTTCCTAAAAAGAATGTAAGTGCCCTAAGGAGCATTTATATATATATATATTTTTAAAGATTTATTTATTTATGCATACAGAACTGGGGAGGCCAGAGGTACAAGGGTGGTGAGAGGATTCACCAGAGACAGAGTGGGGAGCAGAACAGACAGACTGACAAAGTACACTGCTGAGGGGAGCAGCAGGTGAGACAGGAGAGGTCTGCTGTGTCATGTGGGTCACCTCCATGGTCAGGGATCCAACTTGCGCTGAAGCTGCTGAGGCTAGCTTACAGTGCTGTGCTTTAGCCAGCTGCACCACCAGGGAGGGCCAGCAGTTATAATTTTAATGCATATATAATACACACACACACACACACACGTCTCCATCAGATAGTGCCCAGTACAGTAACACAACATTCAGAAACAGATACATCTTCTGAAATAAATCATCTCTTTTATCCTTGAGTAAAAAGATTCTACTATTCCCCAAACAGTAAAATAATGTATGACTAGGCAAAACTAAGATGAAAAGAATTAACAAAGTGGTGGAAGAATGAATAGATGGGAACTTCCTGGGGAGATAAAAATGTTCTTATTTGTGATGGGGTATACTACATGTTTGTATCCATCTATCTAAAAAGCTAAGATCTGAACAACCCAATATATTTAAATTTAAATTAAAAACCTATTAAAAACAAGACATGATGAGCAAGGAAACACAGAAAAAAATGGCTGTGATACATCTTGGGTAAAGTGTATAGGAGGTTTATTATAGTATTCTGTTTATTTTGTATATATGTGAAATTTTCCATAATAAAAAGTTATTATGATTTAACTAGTGAAAAACCCTGTATTAGAAAAATAATAATCCAAAACATTAAATCACTCATTATCCTAATGTTTGGAATATTGTGGCATTGTAACTTTTTAAATGGTTTACTAACTCTTCCATGTTTAGGACAAATCTATCGTTAACTAGGCTAAACAAAAAAAAGGGGGTTGAGCAGTCATAGATTTTTAATTAAGTACCAAGAATAGTATTATCCAGTTATCAAAGATACTCAAAGAAACAAAACATCAAGTTAGAATTTTCCAATATCCTATTGGTGGTATACCAAAAACAGTGACTGGAAACAAAATACCTACAATGATATGACAAAACATTCTTAATGGTTTTAAAGTACCATTTTTTTCTCAGTAATTTAAAGTTCATGTCTATCTGCCTATAATTCTCCTCCCACAAGATATTTAATGCATAAAATATTTTCATTATTCCTGCCAAAGCAAAAGATTGGCAATTTTTTATTGAGTAAATGAACTGTTGCATAATTTAATCGCCCAAAATGCTTATGACGTTTCTTAAAGAGATGTTTAACCACCTTACAATTGTGAATGAAGAGCTAAAAATATTAGTAAGATAGATTCTATTATGATACTATTATTATACTATTTTGCTACTATTTCCAATTAGTTTAAGTTCAAGATTTTCCATACACAACAGCCTGTGACCTTATAAGTTAGCAGTTACCATAGCTGTGACTGCAAGAGAGCAGGAAGAGAGTTGCTGGGAGTCTGACAAGGTTCTTATCCTAGTGCTGATCTAGCTGAGGGCTACATTGGTTGAGTTCTACTTGTGAAACTTCTTCAAGTTCTACACTTATGACATAACTACTTTTGTAAACCAGGGCTGTCCTCAAATTCCTTCACCCACCTGTTCTACACCGAGACTTTCTCTGCAAAAAAGATTTATCTGCAAAACGTAATTCAATGTATAGCATTTAACAGTTTCTATTAGCATATGTCTATATATCAAAAATTTCCATTTGCAATTAGTAGTTCAGAAAATATAAAATCCAGAAGGGGAAAAAAAAGAGCTTATGTTTTCCTGAATTAATCATTTTGAAAGCAAACTGAATAGAAGTGAATAAGTACTGTACTGTTCACAAAAAGCAACAAACCATTTTCATTTTGTTAAAGGGATTTTGGGAGACTACAGTAATAAAGATAGGAGATAGTTAATAGAACTTTATGAAGAAGACCACTAGTCAGTGTTTTAGTCCAAAGCCTACTAATCAGATGTTTCGGGCAAATCAAAAACAGCGACAAAGAAAGAAATGAAATGAAATGAACGAAAACAGTCCGCCACAACTTCATATAAAATATCCAATGACATGTAAGAATGTTTGAAAAGTAACTTTTTTCTCGTTGATTTGCCGAAGGCAAGTGTCTCCCAGGAAGTTCAAGGGGAAAAAAAAAGTTGCTTGTAAACAACACAAAACAGTAACACAAAGCTCTCCCTCTAATCGTATAATCTCCCCAAATTAAACCTAAACTTTAAAGTTCTATGGAGACAGGGAAACAATGGAGTATAATCAGAAAGGACTTGATCCTCACTGGAAAACTTTCACCTATCACCTGCACTAGCAGGAGAGGGAATCTTGCTTTTCCCAAAAACCTCCAGCCTTTCAGGATAACAAATCAGGCGTTCACTGACCCATTCCAAGGGGACACCACTTCAGAAGGAAACTGCCCGGTGGACCCAGGATAGTTCTACCCTCGGCACTTTGCACAGCAACTACTCCGACATCGTGCAAAACCTCTTCCAGCTGACTTAGCCAACAGCCTCCAGGGGGGCAAATCCAACCCCTACCCCCGAACCCCCCACACACACCCGTCCACAAGACAAATACTTCGCGGTCTATCGGGAGATGACCTGCAAAACTAGAACACGCCCAGAAAGTTGACACAGAGGGTGGAGGTGTGGAGAGGTAGCTTGGGCAGGGGGTTGGGGCGGCAGTCTCGGGAGAGGCACTGGTGTGCTCCAGGGCGGTGGAGAAAGACACGCACCCCCGGGGGCCGAGAAGCAGCCGGACAACACGCCGAGGTTGCACGGATCGCCGGGGGCGCCGGCGCAGCGGGGACACCCGGACACCCTGACATTGAAGCCTGGCAGCGGCCGCAGCCGGAGCTCGCCCCGCTTGACCCCTTCGGGCAAGGGGACCGGTCCTGCAGTCGCCAAGCAGGGAGGAGGAGCGCGCCGGGAGCGCCCTCTCGGGCCCGGGAAGGCGGCGCGATCGTGGGCCTTCTTACCCCTGCAGGCCGAGGGCGCGGCGCCGCTTGTGGAGCAGGCAGAGCAGCAGGAGCGCGGCCCCCGCCAGCGAGGAGTTTCGCGCAGTCAGGTACTTGCTGAAGGCCGCCATGGCACCGCCTGAGCCAGCGAGCCGATAATGGGAACGCGGCGGCGACTACCTTAGTGCAGGAAGCGCGGGGGAGACTGGGAGGAGAGGAGCGCGCGGAGGGAGGGCGGCGCCG